CTAGTTTTAACGACCATGTCTCAGCCGTATAAAAGGACATAACGAACTGCAGAGCAGTATACTCGTCTTTTGATGGATAGTCAGATGTCTTGCAGGTGCCACAGATGACGCAAGTTGGCAATCGCTGAACGGCCACTCTGTATTCGAGCAAAGATTCCGTCGGCAACCAGCCCCTTCAAACTAATGCAAGTCCCCAGGTAAGTGAAGTGGTCGACACGTTCCACCACTTCCCTCTCTATCATTTTACAGGGGTAAAAAGCATGACAAACATATTCCGGTTTCTGTTGAAGGCGTCCAGAAGACCCTGCATTTTGTCAGCATCTTCGCCTAGTAGGACAATAATGTCTGCGAACTCCAAGTCAACCAGGTGACCTCTGGTAAATAGATTGATCCCTGTGAATTCAGGCATACTTAACGTTATGCCTATTAGTATGTCCGTGACTAAGTTAAATAGAAACGGTGACAGTAGGCATCCCTGGAAGACACCACTAATTGTCTTCAATTTGCATGACGACTCCCTATAAGCCCCTACACAGCTGCGTGAGTTCGAGAGCTTTGATTAGAGTTATATACTAGCCCGGTATTCCTTCCACAGTCAGACACTGCCACAACATTTTACAATCGACAGAGTCAAATGGCAAGTGTCGGCCGCCGAAAAGTATGCTTGCGTTCCAGAACCTGCCGTAGGGTAAAATTATCATCGACCCACCCTCGTCCAGATCTGAAACTTGCCCGCTTTTCGCAGGCGGCGGAAAACTATGAAGCCTAGGATCTTGCACACAAAATCAGTCAGACTAATTTCTCTATGGTTGTCACAAGAATTCTCTCCCTTCTTATAGACTAGGAAGATAAGTGAAGTACACCATTCCGATACCACTACCTCTGATTCCTATACACTAGGCAGTATCTCTAGTTAATCGAATCAGCGATTTCCTTTCTCCATACTTGAAAACTGGTGACAGACTGTCAGGCCTTATGGCTCTACATCGTTTCAGGTTCGATATAGCTTCCTCAACTTCAAGAAGAGTTGGAGGACTGACACCTACTTCCCAACCATGTTTAGGCTAGATGTCGGGCAACTGAAGCATTGCTGAGGACCAGCTGAACTGTGCTTCAGTGTTCTATCCAACGTTCTAGCTCCCTGTCCTGAGAGGTTATCAGAGTCTCAATCTTTTCAGTGATAGTTTCAGTAATCACCATCTTCTTTCCGCTATCATTAATGAGCCCAAATGGTTGTCAAGTGTTACCTGACGCTGATGTCTACTCTATCTCTCTCGCTTTCGCCACACACTACTGCTCGCGATCTACATGAGGACTGTTGGACAACTTACGTTGGAGTTGCTTTCACTCTTCGTCCAGGTCAGAGCCAGCCAGGCAGAATCAATTTTCTCGCACTAATCAGTCCGGATGACGCCATGAAAATCAAATTACGTCTGCTAACGTTCATGTGCAGGTGACCAGTTGTCTTTACCGTTGTTTCCACAGAAGGCTTAATATTACGACGGGTTTAATCAGGATGAGCATTGTTATCACATTCAGATGAACGCTTAGCTATCTCTCCCCTTAATTCGGACTTGACATTATCATCTTCCAATCGACCACAGACAGGCTTCACCGCTGCCTTTGTCCCGAGACCACTAAAGTGCAGGCATATATGAACCTGTACTAGAGTGTAGTCGCAGTGCAAACTGGTATTCCATAAAAAGCAGCAATCCTAAACCGATCCTCTCCGACGATGGCTGATAAGAGTGTGATCTATGTGTTGATCGTTTGATGTCGGCGGACACCATCTGGGAGTGTCTCTTTTTTCCTAAAGTTAGTACTGGTCAGAAACAAGTGGTTGTCGGAGAGAAATTCTAACAGACGATCACCGTTGTCGATTAGTTGGCATGAGATTCCGTAAATGATCCAAAGATACCTCTTAGATTGGTTCAGCTCCCCTACTTGAGCATTAAAGTCACCTGACATTATGACTACATCTGAACGTTTTGCTTTCTGTAGCGGAATTGACAGCTTTTCACAGAATTCATCCTTCGCATCGTGTGAACTACACACGGTGGGTGCTTAGGTGGAGACTACCAACAGGCATCGCCTGGTCTCACGATCCTTCCCAGTTCTCACAGATCCGTTTAATCAGACAGCACACATATGGCTTTTGACTGATATCCAGTCGAGAAGTGCACATTAGCCTACGCAATTTAATGCCATGCTTAAACCAGCGAGTCCCCGAGAGGTAGCCATTCGTTCTCCGCATACCCGTATGGTGAATTTTGAAGATTTACTATGGCCAGATGAGGTCTTATGAGACTAGGAATCAGGTTTTGATGACTTTGATTGTTGACAACGATCATAGAGTGATAGGCTGGTTAAGAGGCCTGGTATCAGTATCAGGAGGCAAAAGCGAAGGAGACCGATCCGAGAGGGATAGGCTATGTTTGCATGGGTTTTGTTTACTACTGGAAGCGTGCGGACGGTTGATACTTTCCTGCTCCCTACACTGTAGAAGGTTGTCTCTTCTTAAGGTACCTGAAAAGAGGAAAAGATCCAAGTGACTGAAGAGCCCAAGAGACATATTCTTGAGGCCTGTCATACACGATCTTTTGTGGGTTGTTTTTTTGAGGTTTGGTTTTTCTAACGCCAGACAGACAAAACATCCATGCAGCCGGCACCCGAAGTGTGTTATTTTTGGGGCCGACCTTTCGAACCCCACCCCCTACCCTTCCGTTGAGAAAGCAGTATCAGCGTGGGACCTCCGTCACACACCATTCAGCTAGCAGCAGTACAACTTCGCCCTAAGACTTCCATCACAGTGTAATATTTTCCTCTACAACGGTAACTGCTTTTCGGTTAACCACTAATCACTAGACCTTTTTGGCTTGGTGGGACCTCGAGGAAACAATCGTTCCACATGCATAGTTTGTTAGGTCACTGTAATACGCAAATCCAACCATCACGCTAATGTAACAGCTACCGGTCCTGAATTCACACTGCAGTTGTGCAACGTTGGTCCAGAGAGTTGATTTTCAATTAGTGAGTTGGGGGTTCGAACACCCCTCCACCTAACAAGGTTTGGGCAGCCGGATAGTATCGTTAACCCTTAAATAATGGATATGGCTCATTGCCTACCGCACGAATCTGCACAAAGGTGCTGATTTGACACACACATAATTCATGTAAGTGCTCCACTTTATTTCATTCATTTGAATACATAGCAGCAAGCAATTCAGTTTTCCATAAGGCAGCCATATTCCCATTCAACTCTGTTGCAGTTCTGATACCCATTTTTCAAATTTCTAGATTGTGCTTTCACAACTTAGTGTCATCAATAGGCATTATTCACTCACACAAATATATTTTGTATGTACTGAATCCCTGTATGCGATTGAATAGAAAGCAATAAAAAGCAAGAGGAATTTCCCTCATCAGGTGTAAAACCGAGTATCCTTGCCTTAATGGATTAACTGTAGTTAGTTGTCAATGTTTATAGTGTAAGTTAATCTACCACGTGTTTACTCGGATCACTGTGGTACATATGATTTATTTGGCGTTAAAGATAAATTTTAACCGTATAAGCAAGTAGTCATCGGGGGGGGGATTGAAGAACGACTAAGTGTAAGATAAATATTTGCTAGGGCAAGATGTTAGAAAATTGAACAGAGAACACTGTTAAACCGTGAATTCGTATTTCATGAACCTTATTTCCTTATGCAAAGCATCCATGACAACCTTCATTATATTCAAAAGAATATTAAACAGTTTAGTAGCCATAATTCGAATAATACCAAAGATATATTTTGTAAAGAAAACATTTTAGGCATGAAAGCATAACGTTCGTCTAATCTAGTGAATTCAGCGCACAACTAAGGAAGTACAGCTACGAACAATGAATTGTAAATGGTATTTTAGCTTGATTAATCAATACCGATGAATACATATTCCAGTTACTGTATTTGCAATCATGTCACCATGGTTAGTAGGAGCTTCAGTAAGTTACACATCAACATAGTACTTCAAGTAACTGTGCACACCAGGGTGGAAACAGAGCACTCCAACTAACCAAACTAACATAAACCATCGCTCGGAGGAGGTTCACGGTTTATATTTCAAGGTAGACTAGTGAGCCACACTAAATCTCCGGCAACTCAACAATCAGAGTTATACAATGAGTAGAAAAATGATAAAAGTGACAAATAAAAAGTTGTCTCATAAAAAAGTTTCACTCAACCCTTAAACTTCAGGCACTTGTGTATACCGGTTTTCACTTGTATTCTATGGTGTTTTATCGCTTTTTAATACTGAGAAAGATATGTAATACTTGGAGAAATGCATGTACAGAAATGAGATTCGCGAACGAGTGAACTAAAAATATGGGAGCAGTGGGCAGCTGTTTTGTTCTATCATGTGACCTCTTAGTAACATGCACCTACGACCCCACCAGGGATTAGACTGAAGTCATTCCATGGATGAATGCCCAATTACTGAAGAGAACCTAACGGCACTGAGAACAGCTCAAAGGTAACGTCCAACTTCAGCCCTGGGTGACCTGAGTTCAAATCTCAGACCGGATATCAGTTCCGTAGAGGTTGCAGATACGCCTCGCTGACGAGTGCCAAAAAGCATGAAATCTACATCCAGGTATTCTTGCCAATTACCTTCATCCAACTAACATCTAGTGAGAATATTTCCTGTTGTTCTTGACAAAACTTACTGATGAGGCTGAAGTCCAAATTACAAGCTGTGACATATAGCAGCTTGTTGTTATGAAGACATATACAAGACAGCTACTTTATAAGCATCAGTTATACTAAATTTCTACAATGGCTAATAAATCATGTGTTCAACAGTTCATATTACCAAAATTTTCTGCACAAAGATGGGACAATTATCCATTCCTTTTCAGTATTTGATAATTAAATGAGAAATATCTCTTCGCAATGAAAGCAATCCCTTCATATGTATCCATAAACTTCACACCATAACCAAATAATGAAAACTTTGTACTGAAAGAAACAACTTTAATTTACAAACAAGCAGCGTAAACATCGTTTCCATGAAATATACACTCAGTTGTTTAAAAGCTCAAATCCAACAGCTTCATAATTCATTGATCCTCATATACAACACAACGAATGTAAATCCAAGTATCCTACACAAACGTGTGCACAATTGTTGATTCATGCAGACATTACAAAGGCGAAACAGTCACAACTAAACTATATGCTATATATAAACGAGTGTTACCAATTGCTCAGCTCTTATCTAGCAATCATTATTACGCTACAACTCAAAAAACGCATGCGTATTCTTGAATTAGGAAATAAACCACGTGTACTAATTATACTAATCGACTGACACCTTGACAGATGTAGCAAGTTCAATCAACTTCCTAAGTCGCTGATTGAAAGTGAAGATCTAAACCAATAAACCACAACAGGTACTGATACATGTGCGCGTGAACAGACGTACAAACACTTGTTAAATAAAAGGTACACGAAAGTATCAATAGCTATTCAAACATTTTTATGAATAATTTGGAGACAGTTCAGTAGTTACTGTACATGTAAACAAGACATATACTTCAAAGAAAAACGTATAACGACAAAAACAATGGAAAGTAGAAGGAAATGAAACCTTACAACAAGAAGTAACAAAAGCTATTCACATATGAGATACTTCTACAACCACTAATATGCTGCTACTCGTTGGTCATCGTTGCCGACACTACGTTCATGTTGACACCAGTATGACTTGATGGGATGACATTAGAAGAATGAATAAAAGAAGGAACAGAAGACATACCACTACCAACAGTGGAAGTGGAGGCAGGCATCTGAGACAGACAACAATAAGCAGTAGAAGTAGGAGGAGAAGAAGAAGAGCTACTATCCCGTTCTTTTGAATAAACAAACTGCATTAGGATGGAATTACGTAAATGTAAGTAGAAATTAATAAAGCAAAATAACCCGTTGATCACCAAACCAATCAACTTGTACCATTCAACCATTAAATATGCAGCGGCACATTGGTACAATATAATAGATGAAGAAAGACACAACAGGATACTACTGATACGTTGAGGATTGTTGAAAATTGACTGAAAAAAAAATAAAGGCAGACGGATGAAAAGGATATTATTATCATTCCAAAAGTAAAAACAAATAGGTGTACATACACTCAAACAAAGAATTAGTGGCTTCAAATGTCATTTCCAGTCAAGCTTGGTATGAGTAAGGTAATGACTGATGTTCTCAGCGTATCGGGTAACCGTTTCACTTAAGTTTGACACTTTCAAGTTTCAACGACAGCCTCACTCACCAAAGAAAAAAGTAAAACTGAAGCTTATGTCATAGGACTAACTAGATATTATTATTTTAGTCTACTCGGTGGCAAGTAGTGTAATCAGTGGCGAACATTTCATCTCATTTGAGACTTATCAGCTAGATGTGCCTGCACCCCAGTAAGTGACGTTGTTCCCACTTAGACATAAACCCAGTACCCATTGCTTCAAAGCGTTATCCACTAGGCTACTGGGGCATGACAGCCACCTCTAGTGAAGCGAATATCAGATTTTGTTATACTATGTTTATTGGGCGAACAGGTTCTTGTTTGAACATTTCGAGAAGTTATAGGTATCTGTTCCTATTGGCGTCGCTAAGAAGTTCCGAACAGTTACGCAATCAATAATTTTATGATCTTTAAGGAATGTTGGACGAACACCGTCACCACCACTACAATCATCTGCAAATTGACAAACAGTGAGTTCGCTAAACAAGTTTAACAGATGCGGGATAGGCAAAAGATAGAAAAGCCACCTAACAGAAATAAAGTGTATACAAAGTGTGCTTGGTCTGATATAATATTGTTAGGTCACTGGATGAAATTAACAGACTGCTTATAAAATCATTTACAAATTAAGATGCTTTTCATCACGGACAAACGTTCTGTTCAAGCTTGAAGCTCATGATTAATGATTACACTGGAGTGTACACAGTCTATGATATTTACCTCTTACAAGGAGCATGTTACGGTTTACTTTTAAAATTAAAATTCATCATAGAATACTCCCAATATAAGTGATTTCGCAGAATAGAGAGACCATCATCAAATGTTATAAATAAGAACTCATTCCATAAAATCGATCTCAGGGTAAGCTACAACTGAAAACAGAGTTATTATTAACCAAGCAGTGTATATAGAATTGATTTTCCGAAGATACTTCTAATGGGAAGCAGGCTTCTGTTAAATAAGCTGAGTTACGACTGAGGGAAGATGCTTACTGACGAACACAAGGAGTGTCACAATATACATCGAATTTCCTGTAGTCAGCAGACATAAACTGCTGAATTTCATTTCAGTTATGGAAAGTTAATACAGTCATCATGAGACCAGGTTGTGATGGGTTCGATTGCGTATGTGGTCAGTAGCACACTGACGAGTTATCGTAGAGCAGCATTTCTCATTTTCAATATATTCTCAGGTAATATTAATTTAGTTGATAAATAACACAACCACATATCCAAGCTAAGATTCCGTCAGTAATTAGCCAATTACGGTTGGTATGATTTTCCAAGCAAATGAATGTATTCCACGACCTCATTTTATATCCCTAAACTAGAAGTTAGTCCATCGTGTTACATTTAACAGGTTCAAAACATATGCCAAACATACTCAGATCTCCACTCAAGGTGTTCATGAGACTGTGAATTTTGTCAGCGTTTCCGCCTAACAGTAAGATATCGTCTATCAAGTCAACTACATGCTTTCCTGAAAGTATGTCAGTTTCTCTGGAGTCGGAGGTATCTAGGGTTATATCCATTGGTGTGTTTATAAAACTGTTAGACACTAATGGTAAGAGAAGATACCGGTTTTTTATACATCAAACGATAACTCCCCGTAAATCCTTACACAACTATGTAAGTTCAAATAGAGAGCTTTAACTAGCATAATAAACTTATTCGGCACTCCTTTCATAGTCAAGCTAATACTGATACAACAACCCTTGACCAATGAAATCGAATGCCATCATCATATCAAGAAATACGACAAATATCGGACATCTATAAGAATGCCTGCGATGAGAGACGAAGACTTTTCGCTTTGTTTATAAAGTCCAATGATTAACAATCTAAACTGATCTGACGGAACTACCTCTGATTCTTGTAAACTAGATAGCACCTTGTTTACTTTAATAAATAAGTCTCCATCTGAATTATAAAACGTTTCTGAATGCAAGTCGTTAGGTTCTGCTGCTTTGTACCGCTTCAAGTTTGAAACAGCCTTTTCAAGTTGCGTGGCAACTAGAAGACTGACATCTACGCCATATTCAGTTTACGGCTGAATTTTGCATAATTGAAGATCGAGCGTAGGTTAGTTGAAATATTTTTCAATGTTCTGTCTAACATTTCAATCAAGCTAGATCATACCTTTCTCAGAGCTTTCAGTTCATGCTGACCAGGAACAGGTGGTTATTAGGATAGAATGGCAGCAGACAATCACTATTATGTCTGTTCATCAGTATAGGATTTCATAGACATCAATAAAATGCCTAAATGATCGGCTTGTCTGCATCGCCTCAGAGTTGAAGTTGTTCACTAGTATGAACACATCTGAATATGTTGCGTCTAACTGTATGACCGAAAGCTTTTATCAAAATGTTTTAAATCATTTAAAGTGCAGCCAGTGGGCGTATAGTCAGGCCTGAGTGATATCCGAAATTCTTTACCTGATCCCAACACGACTCACTACTATTCCATGATGCATATATGATATTTTAAAGATATTTATGATTTAACACCTGTGGTTGCAATTCATTAGCCTCCGTTGACCGTGTTGCATATCTGTAGGGTAAAATACGGTAGACTGTCGTGTAGCGTTCGCATTCTGTGATAATCAGCCAAACATCTTACAATTATAGATGGTAAAAATTATCAAATGTTAAACCAGTCTATAGTCTCTGTGTAAAGAATTTGTTCAACACCAACCTACAGAAACTGATACACAACTCCTCCCGAATAAATTAGGCAGACAGTCAACACTAATCTCTCCTTTTAAATCAGGTATACATAAAGAACAATTTTGAAGCATCATCTCACTGTATTTTACTGCTGATAAGTACTGCATACAGTATATATATATATATATATATATATATATATATATATATATATATATATATATATATATATATAATAGCGAAACATAAACATTTTGTCTGAGAGAAAAATATTATCTATGATTCTGGTCACAGTCCCAACCATCTGGTCAAGTGAAGACAGACAATTGTACAAACAAATAAAAAAATAAAACCATCGTATTGAATGTTGGTATTAGTAGTGCACTATCTTACTCTAAAATAACTAAGAATCACCTTAACTGAGTCATCAAGAGAGAAATAACAATAACAGTTACTACTTCTACAGTCTATTTATAGAACTGAATTAAATATTTTGAGGTCAGACAACATAAACGTCGACAGGAGGCAGAGAGAGAGAGGGAGTAATACTAGGACCACTATGTGTACCATTGCTGGAAACAAGAGTAGTATTTATTAAAAATGTTGAGAGGATTACAAGATATATAAGAACAATTAAAATGAATAAAAACAATGTTGGAAAGAGGTGAGTATATGGGTAAGTGGAGAAATTTACAAGACTTGTGCCTACTTAAGTGTGTGTGTGTGTGTGCATGTGCAGCTGTGTTTCAACACAAACACAATTGACGTACACTGAAAAAGTCAAAAACAAACTAAAAGTTTCTTTTCACCTATTTTTCTCCTCTTAACAACTTATTCAGGAAAGAATAAAAAGAGCATAACAATAAAAATTCAGATGGGTAAGTGAATCTGTGTCTAATCGACTGAACAATCCTGTATGATACTAGTAATTGTAGCAGCAGCCGCTGTTAATAATACTAGTACTTTAGCTGATACCATGGGAGTAGTACCGGTATGATCGTATCAATTATCGAAATGATTAAATTACAATGCAGCATTAGGGAGTGTGTAAGTATGCAATTTGGTGTGTAAGAGGGTGCGGGATAGCTCCTGCTGAATAAACATCACTTAACTAGTTTTCATAAAGGTAATGAACAGATAGTTGAAATTACAATTATTCTATGCAGGTAATAATCGTAAAGGCAAGCATAATAGACAAGTAAAAGTGTGGAGAAAAAACTCAACATAATAAATATAGGGGATGGTAAGTGATTCACCGTGACAACTGATAATAGGTGAGTATCCGCTACAGAGGCAAGTAACTATGTTCCCAAAATCACCACTTAGTATATGAAAGTGGTAAGAATGTTTTTGAGGAACATAGTGAAGTCCAAATCATCACTCAAGTGTTGCTTTGTTCATAGAGCTATGAACCACACACTTAAAAAGCATAACAATCAACGATACCGTCCGGTTACTCAAACCTTGGTAGGTGGAGTGAAATTAGAACCCACAGTGAAATGCCCAGTTCAATCAAATACAACTTTACCAAAGGAAGACTTGGCTTTACGTTTTTACCGAAATGCATATCGCAAAATACCCTAGCAGCTGTTGTGAAAACACTGATACAACCAATCAATATTAAACAACTAATACTAAGGAAAGATGAGTCTCTAAGTTGTTTTGAAATAACTGACACTTGCAAAGACATATCTCTATGAAATTTAATTAGGGTTTAAAACAAACTGGAACATACAATGATTGACCAAGACTAGTAATCAATGAAGAGTGGTTGGTGAAAAAATTAATGGGCCTGTGATTTACTGTTGGCAAACATGAATCCCAAAAATTACCTTGACACTTTGAAGAGCAATTCAGTCAGGTACATTTCATTTAAGGATCTAATTAGCTACGTTTATGGTTGTGAAGCAGTACTTTGCTTCATTCACTGTAGTCTCTACAGCAGGATTTGTTATCTAGAGAAATGAAAACCAAGCTTATCATAGTGTTAATGACTTCATACACAAGCTATCTGAGTTATTAATTTCCAGAAAAACTTATGTTTGCTGGAGACAACAACCACTATCATTCGTAATCATCTCTCCCCTAGAATTCGTTCTAGAAGTATCTGTTCCTAACTCTACCAGTTCATAGATTCTCTGATCTGTAATGAAGGGGAAATAACATGCAATAAACAGCGGTAGTAACCTTATTTTATTCAGTATGTTAGCTGAATATACTTCTATGTGTTGGCATTTTCAATAGGAAGCACACCTAGACCCGATTACCTTGAACGTAAAATATTTGTACTATAGGCAACGGGGGATTGTAGTCGGAAAGTTGAAAATATAAATGTCAAGTAAAATGAGAAGATTTGAATATCTAAAAGGAGAGCAAGAGAAGTGGGCATGCAGGAGCCAATAAAGGAAAATGAAGAAATTTCCAAGTAAGTATATACTCAGAACAAAAATGGAGAGGAAATGAATTAAACTAACTAGATTAGTCACGGAAAAGATGATAACATGCCAATCAGAAATAGTAGAATAAGAAATAAACAGCAAAACTGATAGTTTATCTCATAATATATTTGTTTAAATATATTAGCAACAGTAACCATAACAAACATTTATTTTGGGTGCCAAGATAATTAACTGATGAATTTTGTTAGTACTGTTTTGGGAGGATTGTTGATGTCCACTACAGATTTTAGGTTCATCATACTTGAACTTAAAAATCCTGAAACGATGATTAAAAAAACTAGATAAATTTCATCATGAGATTCTCTTTTACAACTTTCGTAAGATTTCTTATTCCATACAAAAAAGGCTAGTTAGGTATTAGCCACTTTGTACCATAAACAGATATGAATATCTAACAGTCAAAGAGTTAGTATAATGTACAGTAGTTTGTTATCTTTTTGTATGTATATGAGATATAATCATTTGAAATGGACAAGACGACCACAGACAATGCATCTTGTAAATGTGATATATTTGACTTCGGCAAGCAACTTTCAAAAACAACTCACTACTCTGCCTACTTTGATCTCGTTGTGTCACAAGCAATCACACATTCGGTGTCGCTTACAGCTTGATAAAAAAAACCTTCACTGGGTCACTGAGTTGAAGTAAATGGAAAAAACAAAATTGAAATGCACTCAGCGACATTGTGCACGTTCTCACAGTGGGCAATGAGCCACATTCATTGTGTAAGGGCTAACGATACTATCTGGCTGCCCAAACCTCGACAGAGCGGTGTTCGAACCCGTGACTCATCGGTTGAAGTTTAACTCCCTGAACCAATGAGCCATAGGAAATGCATCATGACTACTTTGGAAACACAGCTCAAGTGTAGTAGCTCAGAGCTCTAGAAACATTTTGTACCTGTACGAACAGAAGTGGCTACGAAATATTTTATGCACGCCACAAAACCAACTACTCATATGTGGAATCATGATTGGAATGAGACTAGATTATGAAATAGCCAATAGTGATGAATTTACAAAGTCCCAGGATGTAGACATTATCACGTTTTTAGATTGACGTTCTAGGGATGTTAGGAACTAATAGTTGAGTGACTTGACTGACATGGTTTAAGATATGAAATATTACATGCCAGTCGACAGGAGACTGTGGATCTAAACCTGACCTTGCCAGTGTTCATCAATGAGAAGTTTGTGCAAATGTGATGAACTGGATTATATCACTGTAATGGTCACTGATAAGATAAACTTTATCCCCCAACCTAGTCATCTACGTATGGGGGTGGGGAAGATCACAGACCATTCGTAACGTCAGTAACTGATACACTGAATGAAACAATAATTATCAAAGATACACGGCATTTGTAACATTTCTAACAATATCTTCTTAGGCAATTTAGATATTCGAATCATTTGTAAATTCAAACACTAAGATAAAGTTTTGGGTAAATCTAATAATGGTGTGTGGATTTTAAATAAAAAAGATAACTATATTCTCCAACCGAAACCTAAAGGAAAGTGTTTGCCTTGAACTTGAGTTATTTATGACTTAAGTCATAAACTTTACCACTAGGTATTCACGCTACAAACAACTTTCATTAGGACTAGGTTTCTGCAGTAGACTAAATCGGTCACTGGATCGTAACACATTTAGTTGCCATACCCTACGTAATGATTACAATTCATTGATAAAGTTTGCAACATAGTCATCGATCTTTGTGAAACTACAGTGCAATATAATCGACCTGGTGTTAGAGCTCCCAGAAAACATGAGTTTCCTCGAGATTGCAAACACCCCATACTGATAAGTGCCAACAAATATGAAACCTAAGTCCTGATGTACCTACCGATTGACATTAAACACAGTTCAAAACAGTATCGCATCACCTAACTCAATATTCAACGGACTTCGTTTAGCACCCAAAACTGTCTCAAGTCACTGACTAACTGGTTGAAAATAAACTACTTAAACCGATGTGCCACAACTTCAGTGAGGGGCATAAGAACCGGTATTGGCAAAGTTTAGTTAAACTATGTTGGAAGATTCTACGCTACTTCACCTGTCTATTTAGATTAACTGAAACACCAAAATTCCTGATAAAACTAAGCAAAAACCTATATCATAGAATTCCATTTGTCGGTGACTGAGATTTAATTCTGGAAAAGTGAGAAGATAACTGAAGTAAAGTCAGTGATCTGATGAAAACAAACTTAAGATTCAGGTGGACAGATCAACATAGGACGTCATAAAGGGAATAGATCACTTCATGGTGCAGCACTTCTTAAGAACAATGAAACAGAGTCAATAGAAATCGGAAGGTGAAAAATTGATGTACATGAAGAAAAAAACACAAGGAAATGATTACAAGTCAACATAATGGTCACAATTTAAGTGAAGATAAAGTGCCACTGTAACCAAATCAATGAGGTTCATTTCCAGCTAAATAATACCAACAATTTTTAACGCTTGATTATTAGTTTACAAGTTGGCAATTACTGAAGTCATACACCGATGTTAGATAGTTTGACTTCATCATCCATATTTCATGTCACAACTCATTACAGATCCATTCATTGTTGAATATTTAAGTAGACAAAAATTGGGACACAGGTAGGTGAACAAATAGGAAAAATGATATACTCACATAAAACCTTGAATGAAGCGCACTGCCGGGCTCTGCACAATTATTTATTCCAACTGATCGAAAGAGGCCACGCATATGCTTGACTATAGCTCCACATGGATAAACCTGTAGTTATCGAATTATTTGAAAAATTAGAAATTAGTTACGTACAATTTCGGAATATAGTTAAACAACGTTATATCAAAAGTTTGTATAGTAACTGTAAAGTTATAAAATAACTGCTGGTGAAAAATATGAAGTTTCTTGAAAATCCCACGGAAAAAAATAAAATCACCAAACAATCAACATCCTGTTTCATTTTTTCTTAGCAAAACAAGGATTTGTCACCCTAATTAATTGTATCGGTAAAGAAATTCTAAATAATGTTGAATCAACACACATTGTCACATTTTTTTAATATTAACAAGGCAAGAAACTTCATCAAAAGAATAGGACAGAAAACAGTACAGAAAATGAACAAGAGGGAATTAAAGAAAAGATTGGATATATAAAAGTTACTATGGTTACTTAGAAGATATCTGGTCGCTTACCGAGCCGAATGCACACAGTCCACTTTGTCTTACTCTATGACTGTAAAAAGTGGTCATTAAAGGTGAAAGAAACACGAAGCCTCCAGTATCATTGGTCCTGCTTCATGAAACTACCACGTGTCTAATGTGGACATCAGGCATAGATATTCAGGTAAAAGAGGTAAGTCAGTTGATGAGATCGCCCATCTTCAACATATATTACACGTGCTTACGAGTAATAATAGTTACCGAAGACTCTGATAGTTGCTTTGAGACAGACATGTAAGTGCTAAGATTGGTATCTACAAGAAACCCGATTCCAATGGTTGGAGAGTCTTAGTAGTGTGACTTATAATCGATCAAAGTTGTGTAGATGAATCCAAACTTTATCTTCATCCTAACATTCCACTGGCTGCTTTAATCCTTTCCATCTAAATTTAGTGGCTTCCTAGAATTTTCGATTACAACACTTGTATTTCGTTACCTTTCATCTTGTTGCCTAATACCTTGAAGTGTTGATGTGAAGTATAGTAAATCAAATCGTGACAAAGTAATGTCAGGTCCTATGGTGATACTGACCAAATGACTGGCTTCTGTAATACATACTACCGACAATATTATCAAGTCAGAGGGTCCTCAGACCACTACTTCGGACTGAACCTACAATCCATTTTCTGTCGGAATAAACTTCTCTTCCATTGAGACACGGTGAGTGAAACGCAAATAAACTTCTAAGGCCGCTATATTTTAGGTGTATGTAGTGTTTAGAAATTCTACCTCAGGATGAAACAGCTATGTTTTCAATGGAAATTCACTTGACTGTAGTCCATGTACATCAACTTCAAGAGGACTCTTAAATGAATTAATAACTGTCTACAGTGGTGAAATTTCATGTTTTTACTGCACAGCGAATGCATTTATGCCTTTTTTCCACATTGAAAAAGCCAACAGTTAAGGGATAAAGTAAAATCAGATACATCAAGATAAGGCTACATTGCATTATGCTTAGCGGTTGAAGGCAGGTAACAGGAAATTACGCTTGAGCTAGGATTCGTATTTTTTTTTAAACACAGGTAGGTAGGGGGTTTATCTTCTAATCTGAATTAACTGACTCTTTTCCATAGATATGCACCATCATCTTCTGCTTTAGTTAGAGACATTGTGTTCGTTCTTTTATTTGTAACTGACTTTTTGTACGGTTGTACTAGATCAATATACTAATCACTGAAGAGTCAGTGAATCACGCTGTATAATAAGACTCCATTTATGTTCCACTAAAGGGATATTAATTAATGTACATCATACTTAGCATAATGTTGGCCACCTATCATTCATTATCAGACGGATTTGAAAGTCATCCTCAGGATATAAGGAGAAAAATGATAGTCAATAAACATGATTCGACTGCATACTTTAAAAGTGATGAGTTAGAAATTCTTTACCGATATTTTGTATCTATCTACAGGTAATCATCAGCAAAGTGTAGTCTTAAGAGAATCGATACCATTCACAAACTTTAAACACTTACTGTATCATACCACAGGCGCATCCAGAGCTTTGCATTGGATGCTGACCTCCTGCATGAAATCATTCAGTCAATCTCCTATACCTAGTTCTTGCCTAAATTTATCAGTCAGTTAGTGTAGCATGTTCAGATCACAATGAGAATTACATAAAATGAAACAAAAGAGATATGTGCCTTACTATTTAACAAAGTCTTAAAAGACTGAGCTGTAAATGTAGCATACAAAGAGTGTGAGTTGACTAGACCATTGATCATAGTGTACAACTCCAAAGGTAAAAAGAGAGCATAGTATACAGTCCAGTGAACCATTCATGGATCATCCATCCACTTACCCACATCCCTATTTTACAATTAGACCTACAAAGAACAATACTATACCTGTGTAATTAACACTCGAATCGAAAATGATTTTATGATTTTATACAATTCTCGGTATCTATTATGTGGTATCCTGGAATAGGATCATGAGGGTTCAATAATTATCTAATTACTGACTTATTTCAGTTTTTTTTAAATCCCACTGAGAAAGATGAACCCATGTTTTAAAGTTTGACAGATACTTCCCTGCCAATCAATCATCTGAACAACGGATTAAACGAATTTTGGGGATTGAATAGACAGTCACCTTTTTTCTCTCCGACTACACTAACCTACTGAACCATGACTTTGTCTCCCATGCATTAAAACAAAATATTAGATATCCTGATTGACAAGCAAACAGATTTATAATCTTTGATCAAGTCACGTAAGAAAACGGGGAAGAACTATGTAGTTAATAAACTCTCTAGCTGCTAATACTACTACTATTACAGGCGTTAATATACTACTCACAACTGTCAATCGCATTAAGTTGCAATATTAGTGTAATGAAAGAATTTTACTTGTACTGGAAATAAGATATGAAGCGTTTAAAGGGAGACTTAGAAAACGTCAATCAGTCAGACAGAAATTAGCTCTTAATAGTAATAATAATGATAATAACTAAACAGGGGGAATAATTATCGTTTTCTGATGTTTCCACTAGAATTCATAGGTGTTTCATTTTATATTTTTGAAGAGGACCTATTATGACAACTACACATACTTCTCTATGCAGGAAAGAAGGAGACATACAAAAAATAAACATATCATGGAAAATAAAGGTGAACCTGATTTAATGAGGAAAATGGGGAGAAAAGTGACAAAAAAAAGTTTTTATCTTAGTGTTGTAGAAAAGAAGGATACAAAATTAGTAAGAAAATTGGGTTTGAATAGAAGAAAGACAGAGATGTTGAAGAAGGTTAAAATTAAGACTGCACAATACAATTGAGTAATGTGAAATCTACAAGATAGGCCAAAAAAAACTAGCGTAAAATCTGTCAGAGTAGCATGTAAATTTACATAAGCATACATTCAAAAAGTACAATGAAGTTAGGAAAAATAAAGATAACATTGTCATAAAAAGAGAAAGAAAGAGTAAAAGAAACACAAAAGATAAAATGAGATGAAAGGTGGAAATGCATCTACCTCATTAGGATCAATTTCGAGGCAACAGCAGAAATATAACTGTTGGAAACCTCACAAGGGGTAACGATCTATGTATAGTCAAAAAGCATTAGATCTAGTACGAAGTCGAAGATGTACATTCTCGTAAAAATCTAAAATTAGAATGAAACGGCTAATTATTTAGTACTGGTTAATTTTTAACAGTCAATCAGCTGATAGTATTTCAGAATAAAAACTAGCACAAATTATTGACTTGATGTTGGCTAGTTGTAAAGTCTTAGATTTGTATTTCATCCAACCTGGGACTCATCAACCGGATGCACTTACATTTACATTGCTATCCTTCCTTAGACTCAAACCCAGAACTTATCAAAAGTTAGTTATTCAGTTAACTGTTTGTTTAATCTCTAGAACCCTCTTCTTGTCAGCAACAACAAGCATTATTTGTAATTTGGACATTTTAATTTTTCGTTGTTTATCCTGCGTACATAGTCATAATAACAAAGACAAAAACAGGTTAAAATGGCCGACTGCAGCGAACAACTGCTTCATATCATTGTAAACGTGACAAACAGTCTAATTATCGATAGTTGCTCGTCTGGTACAGTACAAACAATACTTGGAAACTTTAAAAATCTACTAAAATATCTTTGATTTGTGAGCTTCCCTATTCAGAAAAAAAAAATTATATTGCAATGAGTTTCGAACCCTATTAGGTTTACTTTGCCTGATATTCTAGTGAATGAACAGGTTTGTAACAAAACAAATCACCTTCACAACTCTCCTCGATTATTTTGTTGGTTCACAATTAGGGTCAAATACAATTTGACCTTATATCAACAAAGAAAAAGTGATAATTGAAAAGGATGAACAGAAGAAACCAAAAATCCTATGAAATAAATAATTAAGATGAATAAACCTAGAGGGCTTTAGAAAAAAAAAAATACATGTTCACTCCACTAGCATATATACATCCGTAAACACACAGGCAGAGGAGAAAGTAAAACAATAAGCTGTATTGTACACAGGCAAATAACGCGAATAGAAAAGACTGTAAAGACGTCCAATAGGTAAATGCAATGTGTTTCAGACTAGAATTGTGTATTTCTTATAAAACAAAAAGAAGATGACCAGGTTATTTTCAAAGTTAATTGAAGTATTTTTTTTTAAAACACAGAGCATACATTGCATGCTCACGTATGTGCATGCCAACACACACACACAACGCACGCACGCACACACACACACACAAAGAGTTAAACAAATAAATAAACAGTAACAATCAAATGATAACAAAACTACGCGCAGTTATCGACAAAGTTAATGGGGAGAAAAAGAATTAACTTTTGTTTTTAAGGTCAAAAAGATACAGGGATATTCAAAAAAAAGGAGGTGGAATAGGAGGGTATTTGAAAATGTCACCAAAAGCTGTTCACCAACATCCTAGATTCCCATTGTTATTATTAGTAACAACAACAACACTAACATCGATAACGTATTCAACTACTATTAATTAAATATTTAATTATTTGATGAGTGAATCAGTTGGCTAATTAGTTAATATTTTAAGTAACAGATGCACGAAA